GCCAATGTGGCAGTGAGAGAGGGCCCCCAGCAACTGCACCGACACGTGAGCAGACAACCTGAGGTCAGCGACATCAAGCACAGTGGAGATAGAGCCAGCATGGGAAGAGGAAGTCCATTGCAGTATAGGTGCCCAGTGTGGAGGTGATTGAAACCTTGAGGATTACAAGGCCATCATGCCTAAACACTTATGAAGGACTGTAATGTTGAACTTGTAACTTTATTTCTTTATTTTTCTAGTTTGTACCCAAGTTGGTGCTGGGAATGGTGACTTTTTAAGCTTTTCACTCTTCTCCTGATCCCTGTACTTGAGTGCATGTGACAATAAACCTAATTCTAATTCTAAGATGCATCTGTCCATGACATTATTGGCCGGAATGACAAGTGCACAGTCCTTGTAGAGATGACATGCCATTTTCATGTTGAGGATATCCTTCATTGTACTGTGTGGCACTACCACTGGTAAAAAGGATAGATTTCAAATGGATTAGGGAACTCAATACTGAGCAGCCAGGAAGAGCTATCAGCATAATTATATTCCCTCACAGTCTGTAATATAGGAAGGGGTCATTCAGACCATATAGCTTGCCCTATCATTCTAAAACATAGCTGATCATCACCTCAGTGTCACTGTTCCACACTATCTCCATATTCCACAAAGTCATTGATCTCCAGAAACATATGGGGTTCTATCTTGAATTTGCTCAATGATTGAGCTACCAAAGAACATCTCAGTCTGTAACTGCCTCCACTTTTTTGTGCATTGGATTGGAATTGGGGAGAAGTTGCAGATAGAATACAATGTGGGAAAGTGAGGTTATGCACTTTGCCGGGAAGAATAGAGGCCTAGACTATTTTATAAACCAGAAAAATCTTTTGAAAATCTGAAGCATAAAGTGACTTAGGAATTCTCATTCAGGATTCTCTTAAGGTTAACATGTTTATGTTCAGTTAGCAGTTACGAAGGCAAATGCAATGTTAGCATTCATTTCAAGAGGGCTAGATTGTAAGAGCAGAGATGTACCGCTGAGGCTGTATAAGGCTCTGGTCCGACTGCATTCGGAATATCGTGAGCAGATTTGAGCCCCATATCTAAGGAAGGATATGCTAGCCTTGGAAAGGGTCTAGAGGAAGTTCACAATAATGTTCCCGGGGATGAAGAGCTCAGTATATGAGGAGTGGTTGAGGAGTCTGGGTCTGTACTCTATGGAGTTTAGAAGTATGAATGGGGAATCTGATTGAAACTTACAGGATACCAAGAGGTCTGAATAAAGTGGATGTGGAGATGATTCCCCTAGTAGGAGAGACTAGAATCCAAGGGCAAAACCTTAGGATGAAGGAACAAAAACAGAAGTTGCTGGAAAAGCTCAGCAGGTCTGGCAGCATCTGTGAAGAAAAAATCAGAGTTAATGTTTTGGGTCCGATGACCCTTCCTCAGAACTGATGGTAGCTGGGAAAACATTGGTTTATATGCAGAAAATAGGGAGGGGAATGGGGTAGGGACTAAACAATAGGATAGAGCCCGAAGAGAGAGAAGAGCAGTTGGATAGACAAAGGAGTTGATAACGAGATAACAAGGTGTAGAGCTGGATGAACACAGCAGGCCAAGCAGCATCAGAGGAGCAGGAAAGCTGACGTTTCAGGCCTAGACCCTTCTTCAGAAAATGATAACGATCTGGCTAGGAGGGAGAGTAGCTGTGAAGAGAAAATCGGAGTTAACTTTTCGGGTCCAGTGATCCTTCCTCACCTTAGGGTGAAGGGATGACTATTTAGAACTGAGGCAAGGAAGAATTTCTTCAAAAATAGCATGGTTAATCTGTGGAACTCATTGCCACAGAAGTCTGTGAAGAGCAAGTCATTGAGTGTGTTTAAGGCAGAGATAGGTGCGTTCTTGATTAGTAAAGGAGTCAAACTGTTTGTGTCAATTAACAATATTGGAATGCTATTAATGTCTTCAACTGTTAAGACTGATGCCAAACTTCTTCCTCAGTCCAACCCAAGCCAGCTCTGCCCTCATTCCTTTGTAATTACCCTTAGTTAAGCTTAACACAGTATTTTTCTGACGCAAGTCTCTCCCTGTCAAACTGAATGCTTAGTTTTACCATATAATGGTCACTGTTTCCAAACAGATCTTTTACTGTAACATAATTTATTAAATCTGCCTCATTATATGTCACCAGATCCAAAATAGCCCGATCACTGGTTGGGTCCACACATATGGTAGAGAACTGTCCTAAATTCACTATATGAATTCTCCCTCATAGCCTCCTCTACCAATCTATCCCAATCTACATGAAGGTTCAAGCCAACCATGGTTAATATACTACAATTGTTACATATCTTCATTATCTCCTGATTTATTATCTGTTCCCCTGTACAGCTACTTTAGGGGGCATACACACTACTGCTATCATTGTCTTCTTTCCTTTTCTATTTCTCACATCTACCTGTATTGATTCGACATCTTCCACTTCAAGGTTATTTCTTGCTATCATACGTATTCCATCCTGTACTGATAATGTTATTTCACCACCATTTCCTTCCTGCCAGTTCTTCTGGAAAGTCGGATCCCAGATCATTCATGTATTTCCTTGTCTGGTCTCATTGTTTTATGAATTGGATAATTTGCAGATGAGCCTTTCACTTCTACTACTTGAAATTTATGCATAAAAGTGTAAATCAAACAGAAATACAGCCATTTTGAAAATGTTTAATATCAAATGTTTGGTTCAGATTGTCTTTGTTTATCTCACATTGGATTCACAATGGTCGGCTAATTGTGGTGGCTTTTTTAAGCCTTTTATTTTGTTTGGTGTATCTGCTGCCACCACACTGGTTCAGGAAATTGGTGTCGCTGACCACATTGCTCTGTGCCTGGAACTGGAAGCTAGTGCCAACTCCACTCCATCATATCTGAACTGTCTCTCACTAAAAGTCATGTCAAAAAAATTGATCCAAAAATTGCCAAGAGTTCAACATATATACAGTGCTAAATTTGGACATTATCTCCCTTAGTCTCTGACATATCATGGATTGCGGTTTTTAATACTGTCTCTGTGTCTGGTATAATATCAATGAGAGATAAGAGAGCAATGTCCGTCATGCATTGTGACCCTTCAGAATAAAATAAGTCTTACAGGTCAGATTGAAAGTCCACTTTTCTCTCTTTCTATCCATCATCTTATTTCTCAATCCAATCTCTTTCTTATGTTAAACAGCATGGAAACACCTTTGCTTCAGTGTTATAAAGACCCATTTATAACAAGTGCAATATTGACACTCCCTCTCTCTCTCAGAGAGTCATACAGCACAGAAATAGAACCTTTGGTCCAGTCAGTCAACGCCAACCATAATCGCATACTAAACTAGTCCTACCTGCCTGCACTTGGCCCAAATCCCTCCAAACATTTCTTATTCCTGTATGTATCTAAATGTCTTTTAAACGTTGTAACTGTACTTGCATCCACCACTTCCTCTGGAAGTTCTTTCCACACACGAACCACTCTATGGAAAAAAATTGCCCCTCATGTCTTTTTAAATCTTCCCCCTCTCACCTTAAAAATATGCCCCCTAGTCTTGAAAACCCCAACCTAGGGAAAAGACACCTGCTATTTACCTTATCTATACTCCTCACGATTTTACGATTTTATAAACCTCTTTAAGGTTATCCTTTAACCTCTTATGCTCCAGTGAAAAATATCCAGCCTATAACTCAAACCCTCCAGTCCCAGCAACATCCTGGTAAATCTTTTCTGAACCCTTTCCAATTTAATAATATCCTTCCTATAGTAGGGTGACTAGAACTGTACACAGTACTCCAAAAGTACTCACAGAACTCACCAATGTCCTGTACAACCTGAACATAATGTCCCAACTCCTATGCTCAATAGTCTGATCAATGAACGAAAGTGTTGTAAACATCTCCTAAACCATCCTGTCTACCTGTGATGCAACTTTCAAAGAACAATGTAACTGAACCTCTAGGTCTCTCTGTTCTACAACATTACCCAGGACTCTACCATAAACTGTATTAGTCCCACCCTTTTTTGTTTTACCTAAATGCAATACTTTGTTCTTTCACAGGATTAGGGTGTCGCTGGCCAGGCAGCATTTATTGCCCATCCCTAATTGCCCAGAGGGCAGTCAAGAATCAACCACATTGCTGTGGGTCTGGAGTTACATGTAGGCTAGACCAGGTAAGGATGGCAGTTTCCTTCCTTAAAAGACGTTAGTGAACCAGATGGGATTTTTCAACATTTGACAATGGATTCATGGTCATCATTAGATTCTTAATTCCAAATATTTATTGAATTCAAATCCACCATCTGCCATTGTATGATTCAAGTCCAGATCCCCAGAATATTTTGTGGGTCTCTGGCTTAACAGTCCAGTGATAATGCCACTGGCCATCACCTCCCCTAATTCACTCCTCAAATCACACAGGAGAGGCCCTTTGGCCCATTGAGTCTGCACCACTAAAAATATTCTACTACCTACACTCGTCCCACTTTCCTAAACTTGGGGCCATAGCCTTGAAATGCTCATGCAAATACCTTTCCAAAGGTTATGAGGTTTCCTGCTACAATTACCCTTCCAGATAGTGCATTCGAGCTTCGCACTACAAAAATGTTTCCTCTAATCCCCTCTAAACCTTTAAATCATGCACCCTTGTTATTGATGTGTAGGACCTGCCATTACTGACTGGCCAGCATTTATTGCCTATCCCTAGTTGCCCTTGAGAAGGTGGTGGTGAGCTGCTTTCTTGAACTGCTGCAGTTCACCTGCTGGAAGGTTCACCCACAATGCCCTCCACCACGCAGCATTTCAAAAACTTATCTACCTAGTCTTTAAATATCCCTTCTCTCCCTCTTTGTAAGCTACTGTGCTCCTAAGTGAATAGGTTTGACTGGGACAAGGGTGGGTACAACTGCCTTGGCCTATGGGGCACACACGCACCTCCTGGCCCCGCCCCTTTGGGAGTTGGCGCAGTGCTGGCCGGGATACTGGAGGACGTGACAGGCTGTTGGCGGTCGTTGTTGGCAATGCCGGCCGTGAGCCGGAGCGTCGAAACCTGGTGGCTTGGGTGCTTCGTGATTTGTTTTTAAATATAAATAGATAACAAAAAATCCGCACTCTTCCTCCTTTATCCTCGGAGGAAAATTAACATAAAAAAGTGAAGGATGCCAAGTTTCGGCAGGACTCCTGAACCGCAGCGAGATCAGCACCGAGAGCCGTTGCCCAGAGACGCCGAGAGGTGAGGCGGCATTTTTTGTGTTATTTGTGAGTCTTTCCTTTCTCTGACTCTTCATAGAATGTTGTAGACACGGAGAATGTAATCACTGCTTCCCTTGGTAACTGATGGAAGCCGTTGTTAATATTTAACTGTCGCCCGGTCCTCGGGCCGCTCCGAGGAGGTAAACATTGGCCGCTGCGCATGCGTGCCGCCTTTGGGGTGTGGGTTGGGTTTGGGTTTGGGTTTGGGTTTGGGTTGGGGTTGGGGTGCATGGCAGCACCCTTGAATGAAGAATCCGCTTTTTCTCAGTTCATGGGATTTGAACGTATTGCCCATCCCTAAATGAGCTGACTTAGCTGGGTGGCTAATTTGCAATGCAGAGTGGTGCCAACAGTGTTGGCTCAATTCCCTCAACACCTGGTTACCACGAAGGACTCTGCTTTTCTCCTTCTCCTTCACCTAAGAAATTATGACCCTCAGGTTAAACCATCACCAGCTGCCTGTCTGTAAGGAGAGAGCAACCCTATGGTCTGGTAGAACTATGGTGACTTAATGGACCCAGAGAAGGTGGTGCTGTCGAGGTGTTCCAGTGAAGGGTCATATTGGACTCCAGACAAATATGCTTGCTTTCCACATATGCCGTCAGAGCTGGTAGTTTTTTTTTGTTTTTAATTTCAGAATTCTAGCATCCATAATATCTTGCTTTTGTTAGTTAGGCCAGACTGTGTACAGGTGGCAGAGATCCTTCAGAGAAGGGCATTAGTACAGTAGATATGTTTTTATGATAGTCTGTTTTAGAATCATTAAATCCCTACCATGAGGAAGCAGGCTGTTCAGCCCAACAAGTCCACACCAACTCTCCAAAGAGCATATCCCTGTAGTCCTTCATTTCCTGTGGCCAGTCCACCTAACCCGTACATCTTTGGACTGTGGGAAGAAAGCGGAGCACCCGGAGGAAACTCGTGGGGACAATGTGCAAACTCTGCACAAGCGGTTGCCTGAGGCTGGAATTGAACCTGGGTCCCTGGCACTGAGACAGTGGTGCTAGCCACTGTGCTCATGGTCACGAATATTGATGTCATTGTTGCATTTGTTTAATCAGCTGAGTTTGAATTTCCTCTAGGTTACTGGTTCTATAGCAGAATCCCTACGTTAGTGTATGGTATTGTATGTGCCATTTCTCCTCATGTGTTGGTGACCAATGAAGTAAGCTCCCTCTGTGCATTTCACTGCCTATGGATACAAAGCCATACATAACTAGAAAATTTAATCCACACTCTCTGCTGAAATAACTTCTGGAGCTAACTATGTAAGTGGTTTTATTTGATGGATGAGATAGCCATTTCCATGCTATCTTGTCATCTCAGACAGGCAGTTTTAAGCTGATCTGTTACCCTGTCAAAGCCTGGGAAAAAATTTCTCCATTTCCCCAATAATATGTGTATGCAGTTCTTGTTAGGACAGGAACAGGTTTGAATTTGATTTCTGTGACTATTTTATTCTTTGTTTTTGATATGAAGGCAACACTTGAAGGCTAGCGTTTCCTCAATTGCCTAATTGGTCTGGAGATGGTGGTGAGCTGCCATCTTGGACCTTGCAGCCCATTTGAAATGGGGGCACACAGTGCTGTTAGGGAGCGCTGTAGGACTGAGTCCCAGAGGTATTGGAGAAATGACAGTTTAGTTCCAAATCAGGGTAGTAGTGATTGATCTGGAAGGACACTTTCAGGCAATGGTGGCCCCATGTTTCTGCTGTCCTTCTCCAGGTAGATGCTAGAGGTTGTGCATTTGCTGTTGAAAAGTTCTTTGACAAGTTGCTACTGTGAGCCTCAGTTGGAGGGTCTTAGCTATTGACTTCCTATCTAAATGTATAGTAACTTGATAATAGTCCCAGGACGTTGTTGCCATTTGGTAGAATTTAAACATCCAGAAAGTAAAACAAAATTTTACAGATTTGTAACCAGTCCACCTTCATTTACAGGTATTATATATTTTTAACTTTGGGCTTCTATGCATTATGTCACAAATAGTTGTTAATTTTAATTGTTTCATGGGATCTGGTATTGCTGGCAGGACCACATTTGTTGCCAATCTTTAATTGCTGTTGAACTGAGTGGCCTATGCCATTTCAAATGGACAACCACATTGCCGTGTTTCCATGACATTAATGCTGGTCTCTACATTACTCAAACAGTACCATTATCATGAAGCCACCATTCAGGTGAAGGAACGTTGGATGACAAGATGTGTGGAACATCTAGTCGAGAGGAAGTAGGAAGCAAGGATCGGACAGGGCTCTAGAGGTGTACAAGGTCACCAGGAAGGAATTGAAGAATGGACTTAGGAGAGATAGAAGGGGGTATGAAAAAACCTTGGCAGGTAGGATCAAGGAAAACCCCAAGGCGTTCTGTGCTTATGTGAGGAACAAGAGGATGGCCAGAGTGAGGGTAGGGCCAATCAGGGATAGTGGAAGCAACTTGTGCGAGGAGGTAGGGGAGGTCTTTAATGAATACTTTGCTTCAGTATTCACCAGTGAGAGGAACCTTGACGTTTGTTAGCACAGCATGAAACAGGCAGATATGCTCGAACAGATTGATGTTAGGAAGGAGGATGTGCTAGAAATTTTGAAAAACACGAGGATAGATAAGTCCCCTGGCCCAGACAGGATATACCCAAGGTCCCTACGGGAAGCAAGGGAAGAGATTGCCGCCCCTTAGGCGAGATCGTTGCATCCTCGCTGTCCACTGGAGTAGTAACAGATGATTGGAGGGTGGCAAATGTCATTCCCTTGTTCAAGAAAGGGAATAGGGATAATTCTGGAAGTTACAGACCGGTCAGTCTGTCTTCTGTGGTGGGCAAATTATTGGACAGGATTCTGAGAGTATTTATGATTATTTGGAAAAGCACTGTCTGATTAGAAATAGTCAGGATGGCTTTGTGGGGGGCAGGTCATGCCTCACAAGCCTTATTGAATTCTTTGAGGATGTGACAAAACACATTGAAGGCAGAGCAGTGGCTGTGGTGTATATGGATTTTAGCAAGGTATTTGATAATGTTCCCCATGGTAGGCTCATTCAGAAAGTAAGGAGGCATGGGATTCAGGGAAATTTGGCCGTCTGGATACAAAACTGGCTGTCCAATAGAAGACAGAGGGTGGTAGTAGGTGGAAAGTATTCATCCTGGAGCTCGGTGACCAGTGGTATTCCGCAGGGATCTGTTCTGGGACCTCTGCTCTTTGTAATCTTTATAAATGACTTGGATGAGGAAGTGGAAGGATGGGTTAGTAAGTTTGCCGATGTCACAAAGGTTGGTGGAGTTGTGGACAGCATGGAGGGCTGTTGTAAGTTTCAACGGGCCACTGACAGGATGCAGAGCTGGGCAAAGAAGTGGCAGATGGAATTCAACCCAGAAAAGTGTGAAGTGATTCCGTTTGGAAGGTCGAATTTGAATACAGAATACAGGATTCTTGGCAGTGTGGAGGAACAGCAGAATCTTGGGGTCCACGTCCATAGGTCCTTCGAAGTTGCTACTCAACTTGATAGGATTGTAAAGAAGATAGGATTGTAAAGAAGATAGGATTGTAA